GGTTCCTCAGTGGAACAGGCTTCCTTGGGAGGTGGTGGGCTTTCCTCCTTTGGAAAAACTGGTATCATCATTTTGCGTGATCTGGACACTATACTTCTGTTGATACAGCCCAAAATCACATTTGCCTTTTTAGCTACCACATCACGCTGCTGACACAAATTATTTATTATACTGTTCCTTTTCAACTGGTGAGTTGTCACCCATAAGTGGTCGCTAAGGTGAGTCACAAAATGACACTATTTTATACATCTTGTTTTTTAAAACTTAAGGTAAAACAAGGGAGAAGATGGTAAAATGTCAGGTCCAAGATTGTAGATTGAGTGGGTATAAAGCCTGGCCAGGCTAAATGCTACTGCAAGGAAGATTTTCTAAATAATAGTTAGAAAGGACTATTTCAAGGATGCATTGAATTTGAAGATACCTCCCTGCTTTTGGGGGAAGGAAACTGATTTTGGTGTGGTTTTTTTTCCCCCCCTTCATTTCTTTACAGCCTGAGATGGGAGATTGACAAGGCAACAACTGTGTGCTGGAGTGGCCTCTGCAGTAGCATAGCGGTGTCACTGCCAGAAGGATCAGAAGATTGGCAAACTTCATCAGCTGAGTGTCTGTATGAATGTGTAACCCAGATGGCTGCCAGACAAGGATTCTGCAGTTCCAGTGCAGGATGCAGTGAGCAAGGTTCATGAGTAAACAAAAGCCCAGGGAACAAATATCTGGCTTTTCTGAGATGCGTTTGCAATCCGCTAAGACAGGACATTGGAATGAAATGTACTCATTTCAAAGTATATTCCATTTACCTCATGTACTGATCCAGTTGTTGCTCCATTTAGAGCATTACTTACTAAGTGTTCTCTCTCTGCCGTTAATTAGCAGGTAATGAGACGAACCATGCAAAATATATCATTGTGCTGCTCACCATGGTTCCAAAAGCTGCTGCACCTATTAAAACACTCCAAATAGAGTCTCTTGAAATTTAGACAGGAGAAACATCATGCATTGGATGAGAACTTCAATAAAAATGTGTAGACTACCATAAGGGTAACCTGAGTGATTCTAAAGTGACTGCATAGTAATGACCAATTTTTCCCAGAAGGTAGTACAGTTGGTGGAGGGTCAGAATGGAAATAATTATTATATTTGACCAAAGAGGCCACTATGGCTTTTCCCCCCACTTGATTCTGAAGAGGTAGTCTTACCACTTATTTTCCTATGGGCAGGGCTGTATCTGCATTGCAATTCAGCAG